TTATACAGTATTATACAATAATACTGTTCTGGCTTACATACAAATTCAACTTAAGGACAAATTTGATAATTAATTAATTAATTGATTAATAGCTGGAGTCACGTATTGAGCTGAATCAAGATTTTTTTACTCACAATTTTTTTCAACCATCACAACGGTGTGGTTCACACCTGTATCACTAAGCCATAAAAATGAATCATTCTTCTATTGTGGCTTAGCCTCATATTTGAACCAAGCAACTAGGTTAGGTTGAGCAGAATTTATTCTTATGTCCTTAAAGCAATGAAGCTCTGTTGTTCAAAAAAAAAAAAAGGGGAGGGAGCAGTAGGAATATGACAGGCCCTCACATTCTTTGAGGGGTTTTCCCCCCTTCTAATAATCTTACTGCTCTCTTGAACGCACTAAAAGTAAGCAGGAGGTTCAAACCGATAACATTAGACCAGTGTTTCTCAATCTTGACCTCTTGAAGACGTGTGGACTTCAACTCCCAGAATTCCCTAGCCAGTCATGCTGGCTAAGGAATTCTGGGAGTTGAACTCCACACATCTTCAAGTGGCCAAGGTTGAGAAACACTGCATTGGACAGTTAATCAACAGATGAATACATTTCCCATCACTATAGGAGAAAAAAATTAAGAGGGCTGGGCTACTCCGACAGAAAAGTGGGAGAAAAAATGGCCATTTGACTCAACTGAGTAACAAACTCCAAAATAACTGTTGTTTTTTTATTATTATTATTATTAACATCTAAAGGCCCAGCCTTGCTCCACTATTGGTGAGAATCCTTTTCATCACTCAAATTAAATTGTCTACTCAGGGCCATACATCAATTCTTGAGCATCGAATAATTTAACAGGCGTGGAACAAAGGCGCAGTATATCACGCCAATGAAATTGGATTTGCCTTTTATACAGGCAAAATGACCTTGATTCAGGAGGCTGGCTTAAAAAAAATAATAATACAGCACCCAATTCCATGGAAGGAATGCTTTACACATCCTGGATTTATTTGCAAGGCAGGAAGCAGTGGGGTTAAACAATTAGCCCACAAGTAATCAGGACTTCTTGGCAGACGAAGAAATGTTCCCTCTCTCTTTTAAATATACATGTCACGTTTGTAATTCAAAAGAAAAAAATTACCGAGTACAATTACACTAGTTGAGAAGTAGATTGGTACATGTTGGCTAAGCCCGAAGTAATTATTTAGGCATGCTTAAAACAAGCTTCCACAACATGGCGTTCTCCATATATCCTGGACTGTAACTCCCATAATCCCCAAGCGTATCTGGCAAGTACAGCTTAGAGAAAACTGAACTAACCATTTTGAAGGGTTCATTAGTTTTTATTTTCCCCTCCAGCTTGTCACAAATTGCTTTTGATAGGTCTACCAACACAAAACGAGTTACTTCCTAACGTCAAGACAACTTGTAAGACGTTCTTGATTTAATCAACTGCGTGCTGCATTCCTTCAATAACCATGCCCTAAATTGTGCCCTGTAGACATTTTTTTTCTGCACTGTTTGTCTTCACTGGCTGGAACACAGTCTCTATGTCAAGAGTCTGCTATGTTTTCTGATTCCAGGAGCCATCACATGCTCTTCTACAATGGTCCAAGGATTCCTCCCTTCTCACAAATCTCTACAGAAATGCTCATGAGATTAAAAAGTTCTATTATTTTGGGGTGCTCAAGCACTTCACAGGTCTTCAAGAGAGTCCACTTTCTTCTATAAATAGCTATCAAAACAAAAATGAACAAAACCGCAACTAATTTTCAAATTCCTGCTCGTTCAAAGAGGCTTTCTTTGGAAAACTCCAACCCTTGCTCTTAGATGCACCAAACCACGATTTTTTTTTTTGGAATCCAACTACAATTTTGAGATTGGTTTGGCTTTTGCACAAAGGGAATTGGCCATCCTTACGCTCAACACCATGAAAGACACTTCCCGCATCTCCATTTCTCCAACGTTTACCTTTAGCATCTGCTCGTTTTCTGCAGCGAAGAGCGAAACCGAACCAAAGACCAGCTTGAAGAGTTTGAGATAAAGGTTGGACAGCTCCACGTTGGAGCCCATTTCAGGCAAACGGTCAAGCAGATACTCTACCAGGATTGTGGCAAATAAAGCTGAGGTCGTAGGATTGGCCAAGAAAGAATTTGCAACAATCTGTCAAAATACCATAAAGAAAAAGCAATTGGGAATCATCACCCCACCAATGATTTTTTCTAAAAAGGCTACTGAATGGCAAATTTAGCTGCTGGGGGAGAAAAGCAACCGGAATACCAATATCAAAGCTTCCATCCCCTCCAAACCCCTTCTAGGGTGACCCCAAAAAGCAGAAGAGGAAGCAGCAATGTTAAATGCGTCTCTGGAACTTATTCTGCCCCTCTTTCCTGATCTGCTTTTCTCCAGCTTGTAGAAAAAGAAGGGCAAAAAAATAGGTCAGTTCCACAGATGACACAGCTCTTCTTCTGCTCCACAGATGTCAAAACCACCATGGCTTGCTCGTGGTGACCAGACTTTGCTCCACTTCCAGAATGATGTCATCGGGGAAGTCATGGATAAAGAACTTCCATGGTTCTCCTCCTGTTAAGATTGACCTCTCTTCTCCTTTGGAGAAAACCTAGAGCAGCTGGGATACACAGGGTGACACCTTCCTAGTTTTCCAAGGACCCTCCTGACTCCTCTAAGGCTGTTGCTTTGCTGACGTTCCGTTCCCAATCGTAGCAAAGGGCAAACAGCAGAGAGCTGGTGCCTGCCATAGACCTTCCCCAGAAAGGCTCACCAGTGGCTCTTTTTAGATCAGCTGGATGTAGATCTTTCTTAAAGAGATCTTCCCACTTCAATGATTTTCATTTTAAATCGTGATGCGCACCGTTCAACCTCCGGTGCACAGCCTCCCTGCAACCCTGAGCGCCCAATAAAATGCCATGGCTCTTATAAATCAGTCTTGGAGAAGACTGTGTGAAACTTGTCACCCAGTTGTAGGTTCACCTTACTGTCAAGTGCACAAAACATACTACCTGAAGGGCATAGTTCTTGGAGATTCTTTCAACCATATAAGGGACAGACGTCTGGAAGATTTCTTTAAACGTCAAAGGATTCATCATGGTGAAGACACCAGCAAAGTGCTCCAGGACCTCTTTCTCCTCTTTCATTCTGACTGTCTGGCAGTTTGCAACTCGAATGTACGTCTGCCCATTTCCAGCTATTTGGACCTAGGTGTGGTGGATACATTTCAAAGGATTAAAATACGTTCCTTTGCAACTGGCCAGGCGTTAACTGGAAAACACTGAGCTTGAGAAGAAGAAAATTTTCCAAGGGAAATGGATTAATCATCTTCCAAATTAGGTATAAGCCACATCCATGATGACACAGGGGTCCCAATAGGTACCTGATAAATATCCAAAGCCTGCATGGCATATTTCACCAATTTGATATAGATCTGGGTCTCTTTAGGCTGCAGCTGCTTATTGGGAATGAACTGGGCTTCTAAAAAAAAGACGACAAAGAGAAGGGAAGAAAGAAAAAGACTGAAACCAGAATTCTGCAAAAGATCGCTAGTTTGTGTAACAGTAAAACATTAGGGCTGTGCCATTTATTCAATTAGCCAGCATGAATTTATTTAGATATTTTAATGCAATAAAAAGACACCCCCTCCAATTAGGCAGGCAACAGATGTTTTAGAAGAGGCATTCTGCTTTCTCCCACAGAGTGGAGGGAATGCCTCTTTGAAGATGTTTGCCATAACTATTTATCCCGGAGTGAAGAGAATGCCTCTTTGAGAAGATGCTTGCCGTAACGCACCTTTCATCCAAGCACGTAACATAGAAATGCCATTTGCCTATAAGTATGCATAAGTTAATAAAGCAAAAACAGAGCAAACTCCAATCCACAATTTCAACTTAAAGGTCTGTGACTGGGTTGTAATCTGAATACATTTTTAAAAAGGGTAATTAAGAATCCATCAACTTTACCACCAGGAGCTTTACAAGATGTGATGCCCCACGTAATTGTCTTGACGCCACAGACTAAGGTCTTCACCAGGCTTCGACAATCAGTGACTTGAAAGGTCTGCTTGTCCTCCTTCTCCTTCTCCCCTTGTTTCTCAAAGACAGGTCCTGACGCAGGGACTACGGGGGTGGTGGGAGCAGGTGACGGTACTGTGACCGGAAGAGTGTTTCCCCCTGCTGGTGCACCAGATAAAGCTGCTTCTCCTGCCCCCAGCTCTGACTGTGGTTTGCACTTTTTAAAGATAACGGAAAGCTGATAACGGGCAATGGTGTGAAATTTCAAGACAAAAACCTGAGGAATCAGAACAAGAGGAAGGGAGATCAGGAATAACAACTGCACCAGACTACCAATGGAGCTACAAGGAAGTGGCTGGAATTCCTGCATCCCTCTTGCTACCCAGTCTTTCGGATACCCACGCGCCCAACTGCTGTAAATTTCACATTCCCTTTGGAATCCTACATCCCTCCTATTATTGCAATTCTTCCTCTGCTCGGCTATCGGTAATTATTCTACCCAGGCAGACAAACAATGGTTTGTACTGCAAATGAACTTTACAATCCTCACTGTCACTCAGTGAAACCATCATTAACCTGATGGATTAGCAAACTACATGTTTGCCTTCTTGAAGAAGCCAACTGCAGACTGAGCTGAAGCATGATCTAACCCAACATTGTCAAAATGGGTCAACATTCATCAGGATTTCAGGCAGGAATCTTTCTCTCGACCCCACCTGCAAATGCTGGGGACTGAACGCAGGGTCTCATGGGTGCAAACCTTAAGTTCTACCACGAAGCTATGAAGCAACCTTACACAACCGCCTGACTTTCAAATGACTCCACCATTTCTGTTCCTCCATTTTTCATTCCCATTCTGGCCCCCACCATCTCTCCAGAGAGACCATGTTTCTGAGCAGTGATATCCTTTCATGCTATTCCCGCCACTGCAGGCTTCTCGCTCCCACTACAAGTCTTCCTACCTCCAACATTCTCATGAGAATATCTCGGCCGTTTCCATTTTCCTGTTCGCTCTTGGACCGAATACAATCCACCAGGTTTAGCAAAAGTTTACACGACATAGTCTGAATACTGCTGGGTAAAGATTCGTCATCGATATTCTTGGCAAAGAGCTGGACGGCCAGGGAGAGATCGTTGAGGGGTAAATGCTGGCGGACGTGGTGGACCAGATCGGCCAGGGTGCTATACGCAAGGGGCCTAAAACAAAGAGAAGCGTACTGTTTTGGAGGCGAGGGTTACTATCTTAAGCTTTCGCTTTTCCAACAGAGACGTCCAACAGCTACCAAGGTCGGGGAGAAAGCTTTCTACTGCTTTATTTTTCTGCAGAAAGCTTTCCATCTTTGGAAAAGCATGCAGTTGTGATACAGTAGTGCAACCTTAAGTCAAACTGGGCAACAAATACCTGCCAAATTTTAAAACTAAAAGAGTATAATTAAGGGGGGAGTGAAATCTAGGAAGCCTTCCGCCAATCCACTCCCACCCGGACCCTTCAAATGGGTTAGATTACAATTTCCACAATTCCCAGCCATCATGGCTAAAAGGATGCTAAACGTCAAGGAGATGGGTGGGTGTTTTAAGTATGGTTTAAAATTTGGGATGATTCTTTTCCCCCCAAGAACTTTTACAAATAAATCCATTTAAAAACCATACTAGGCATGTTAAAGTGGTTTCTGAATAAGCCCTTCATTTTGAACAAGACCGGTAACTTCAACCTTCCAAAGGTTAATTCCAAAGAATGCCGATTCTAGGCAGATCAATCACATGGAGTCTTCTTATCCAACTTGCAATACCCAGTTCAGCTCCTCAGGAGTAGGGCCCACACATTCATCTAGCATTTCACTGTTACTAATGACTCATTGAAAAAAGGAGAAGCCCCACCCATCTCAGTTTCTTCTCTTAACATAGCCAAATATTAAGCAAGCCACTACATTCATCTTGAGAGAGAGGAAACAAACTCCATAACGTCCCATTTTCACCTCTGGAGGAATTGTATATTTTATCTGAGAAAGGGGTTTCTGAAACACCCTCTTTTCCTCCCTTGCTGTTGACATGCACAGAAAAGACAAAAAATCTCTAATCATACACCCATCAACTTCTGAAGCATGACGCTATTAGCCATGCCATCTATAGCACGCTATTGTCGAAATGACGGTCATCGTTATGACATCTGATGCAAGTATATTAAGATGCAGCGTTTGTGTGATGGCGTGATCATGCATGCATCGTAATTCGCCTTCCCCTGCAGACACCTATGACTCTTATATATGACCCCTAAATGCCTCTAATAGCCCCCATTACACACCTGAGAGTTTCACGGGCCGTGTAGCCAGAGCCTATGAGAATGGATTCATCAAACAATTTGTCCATGCATGGGATAAACTCTGCAACAAAAATTTGCAATAGAATCAGTATTGTAACGAAAGCAACAAGGATTATTAAGATGTTTCAACTAACTGAAGCTAGTGATACAAAGGTCGCAAAGGAATGACTTCCGTGTGAAAACATGCTGGCTGATTATGAATGCACTGGCTAGGCGACACTCTCTTTTCGTCTTCCTTTCCTCCCTCAAGCCAAATAGAATACAAAGCAAAAGCAAAACTTTTTTCCCCATAACATTTCATCCACTCCAGAATTCCCAGCTACCTGCTTCTAACAACCCCCAAATGGCAAGGCCCAGGGCAAATTTTCTTTCGCAATTAGGGCTTCTGAATTGAGTGTTATGCCAGAATTCCCTTTCTGAAAGATCTGCTGGGAAACTAGCCGGTGAGAAAGAAGTACATACAAGACAGTTAAGAGAAGCACATCTTGCTCTGTGAGAATTTTGAGATAAAGTCCCTGGGTCCATATCAGTATCTCAAGAACTTGAGAACTGAGAGATAGCTGAAGTTTCTCTTTAAGGTCCACCAAAACCATAAAGGACTGCATCATTGGGCAGAAATCCAAACAGTGTATGCAATGAAGAACGAGGAGGAGGAGGCTGCAAGTGGATAGTGAATATTTTGAATTTCTACTTGCACCACTACTACAGGAAGTAGAATTTAGGGGAAACACTATGCCTTGTACAAATGCATTGCCATAATTGCACCATCACCATCCTTATGAAGTGATTGGGGAAGCTGAGCCTGGAACATCTGCCTGGAACCCTCCCCAGGTTGACTTGAGAAGCCCATGATATGGAGCAAAATCTTATATGTGGCTTTTAATGTAAGGCTTCAAACTTCCACAGCAATTGCAAAAACCATTCTTGCAGAAATTGCATGGCCTTAACAAGGCAGCCCATGGGATGGTCTGGCATTTATTTAAAGAAATGGTATCTTGTGTCTACCGCTCGCCACTTCCTCATCGCTGCATGCAACTACCTAACCAGGGCAGAAATACGTACGGCTCCTCAGGTCAGTGGTGAGAATATGTTTGGCTGCAATGAGCAGCTCCTTCCTCAGGTGAGCCGTTTCTGCTGGACAGTTGGATAACAGCTGCAACATTCCTTTCACCATTTGCTGAGAATACTTAGCCACTAGCTCCTGGCAAAATGAAAAAAGGAAATGCACCTCGATATTATAGATATAGCCTCCATTGTTAACATCCCAAGGAAGAGTAACTTAGAGGAAGTCTAAGGAAGGTTGACTTTCCATTGGGTTGCATTCCAAACTACAGGACCATGGCTGGCTGGCAATGACAAGGATTGTAGTCCAATGCATCCTGAGGCCACTAAGTTTGGAAACTATATCTCAAGCCACCTAGATAAGCAGCAGAAACATGTAGTCATTCCCATGATCTCCTTCCAAGAGAGGCGGCTTCAACACTTATCAACCAAGAACCCAAACTCCTCCTAGAAGGTGCCTATATAAACTATCTCCATGGAGGTATCTCCAAATATTTTGGGGGTATGAGGTTGAGAAGGATGATTTGGAGGATCTGAATGAAGAACATGGAGAGAGGAGGAGGAGAAAATGAGACAGTAGATTGGTCCCCATTGTGACAGCTTTCCAGAAAGAACTAAGGTTTGAACTATTCCAGAGGGCAACATTACGGTCACTGTTAGCTATGGGGTGCATTATAAGTGTCATAGAAATATAGTAAGAATTGTCAACTTATTATGACAATAGGGTGTTACTTTATCATTATACTGTAATGTAGACATTTTAATTTTTTTCCATGGATATATTAATGTCTATCACTTACTATGAACATTTACCATTTCATATTCATTGTGGATGTTCTGTTGTTCTATACCAGTTGAAACCTTGGCGACTTTAAGATGTGTGGACTTCAACACCCAGAATTCCCCAGCTAGCACACATCTTAAAGTGGCCAAGGTTGAAAAACACTGTTCTGTCCTGTTACATGGACCATGGAGATTTAATTGCTGCGAGCTGCCATTCATCAGCATGAAATCTGCAGCGTACATATTTGAGAAATCACTAAAAATATCTGCTTCCTCTCCTTTACCCATTTCCTCCAGCCTCCACTAGTGCTCAACATTTAATCATCATCCTCTTTAATATGGCCACTGACCAAATTTCAGCAGAGTTCCATAGGTAAAAAGGGAGCAAAATTTTAAAAATGGCTACGTAATCTGCACAGAATAAGAGGGAACAAGTTAAAAGAGTAGAATATAGGACTATTCTAAGATATATAAAATATATATTATCTAAGATACATAAAAGAAATACAATGCTGGCTGTTTAGTGTTGGCTCACGGAACCTGGCCAAGACACTTTGCCTGGTTTCTTCAGCTTCTGCAGATCGTTGACATCCAGTTCCTCAGACTTCTACCGTAGCTCACCTGATAAATTCTTATAATGTACGCCAGGAACGACAACGTTTTGATCTGTGCAGCAATGAAGTCAGCGTACAATTCCTTGTTGTAATTTTTATTCTGCCTAAAAATTGAAGAAGGCATATTTGATCACAACAATTATTCATTGGCTGTGTTATGAAATAAGCACAGAAAATGTTTGTAAGAAGTATAGAAAGCAGGCACTGCCTTGGAAGAGGCGTTCTGCTTTTCCCCCAAAGCATGCCTCTTCTTAGAAGGTGCTTCTTGAGGCACGTATTTTAACCCCTAGACACAAAGCCAGCTTCTTGTTATGAAAAGTCCTTTTCTCACATGTGTGTTTGTTTTCTTTAAAAAAGGTAATTTTCTCAGTGACTGCATATTTGTTATGGAAAAATAAAAGGCTTTAAAATGGCCCTGCTTCCCGGTGGGTGGGGGGGAAGACCCACCATATTCAGTGAGGATTAATCCCGAGTAGTACACACAGCCTTGCACTCTTAAGCTAGCAAAATAATATTCAAAAGTGCATAAAGCTTACATCTCAAACCAGGATGGAGACCCCCAAAATCTCTGGTTACAGATCCCCCACGAACCCCCCTTTGTCACCACAGATTGCAATGTTTCATATGACAGATACTTACTTGTTAAACCCATGGAAAGCAAAGATATGACTTATACCTAAGTAAATAATGCAACTGTCATTAAATTACATCCCATTTTTGTCCTGGCCCATTCCTTGTTGGATACAACTCTCAAATGCAGCCCTCAGCTTGAAAAAAATAAAATAAAATCTTGCCACTCCCTGCCTTAAAGACTCCAGGTTCAGGGAGGCAGCCTCCAATTCAAGGAGGTTTTGGTCATGATAAATCTCTCCATCTTAAGATCCCTGAAGACTACGGCGCCTTTTCTTGCAGTAACGAACAGGGTTTCTCCTCTGAAATTTGAGGTTGGAGTTTGTTCCCCTTTGCTTTGTATCAGCAGCGTGCATTTCTTCACATAGGTCAGGAATTGTTAAAAGGTTTGTCCCCTACACATACCTGGCTTGGTTGGACACCTGAATAATTATAGTATTCATGATCAAGGGCACAAATTCCGCTACCACGTTGTGAATATTCAGTTTGTACAGCTAGGAAAAAACAAAAAGGTGTGTTAAGGAAGGACAAGCATCAACCCTGCTTTTTTCTTTTCTTTTCTTTTTTTGCCTTTCAGTAATCCGAGAAGAATAGCAAAAACGTTCGAGACCAGATGTGCACGAAATTACACCTACCTCTTATTCTTGTCTCTGATGGAGGAAAAAAGGGCCAGAGGGTTTGTTGGAGGTAAAGAATAGGAATGTAGCTATGGGTGAAAATCGCTTCATACGAACCTGATACATGAGGACAACAATTATGGGAAGTTCTGCTAACACTTTCAAGGATAGAGAGCCACGAGGAATGACAGCGTGCTGAAAAACAAAAAGAAGGGCACTGAGCTTTGCAAGGCAATAAAGGCCTGGATTTGGGCCACAAGTTAAACAAGTCCTGTTGGTGGGTTTGTCTGTCTGGTGTGTATCAGTTAATGAGGGATGGTTTTCAGGCCTGGGCATCTCTTACATATTTTTTATTAGCTAGGGTTTTATTCGGCCTATTAGCTTTGGCTGGTTTTAATCCTTTGTGCCCCACCCAGCATCTGTGCTGTAAGGGATTAAGTTGTTTAAATTTACTTTTACTTTTTTGAAGCTCTTAGGAATTACCTATAGCTTTATTACCAGATTGCTTTTGCTGCTTTCTCATAAAAGATCCCTGAAGTCAAACTGGATTCTTGGTGACTACATAAACATATTCAGATAAATTTCTTTGGTAACAGTACTGAAGGAGCTTCCTGTTGCCTTCTTCATTAATTTTTTATTTTATTTTTTTTACTTCTCAGTCGAGCCTATAACTCTGGGACTCCTAGATTGCCATCCAAGTATTAAGCAGAACCCTCCCTCCTTAGCTGCCACCAATTTTGATTCCACTTTCTTAAATATCCTTATTTTAATGTAAACTGCCCATACTTAACGCAGCTTCATTTCAGTCCTGGCTTGTTCAGCAAGACAGGCATTCTTCCAGGTCAACAAAACAGCCCTGCCTTGATTCAGCCCATTTCTAGTTTCTTCCCCATCTATCTCTTCTGCCAGCACTCAAAGGATGTCTCAAATATCTTCCCAGCCCCCAACCAAACCAGAAATAAGATAACATTCCAAGTTTGGACGCAACAGGCTATAATTAAAGCAAGCCAGGCTGACCATGGTTTGCTGAGGTGGCTTCCCGACTTTCAACCACATACACTTCAGTTAAACAAACTGAGATGGAGCATTATGTGAAGCCAGACTCAATTTATCTGCTTGACCGCCCTATATTTTTGTATTAAAACCTTCTCTAGATCAATGTTTCTCAATGTTAGCAAGGTTAAGATATGTGGACTTCAACTCCTAGAATTCCCCAGCCAGCCATACATTGAGAAACACTGCTCTAGATGGTCATTAAATAAGTAATATTTTCTTGTGTATGTACTGCTAATATGGCAGTGGTAAACAGCTCACTTTTCTGACACCATCCAGACTGACAAGACTGCAAGGAGTCACAAAGACAGAACTTGGCAGTTTTCAAGAGATATCTTTTCTTGTACCCACCGATCTGGTTTCACTGTCATCTCTCTCCGGATTTACTTTCACCACAATCGTCGTGATCAAGCCCACCATTTCTGGGGTAGGAATGGTGTTCTCAGGAACGACCTGAGGATTCTCAAAGTATCGATTCTAGAGCAAGAAAGACAAGACATCACCCTAGCTGCGGAGCACAGGCTGCAATGTGAAAGTGATTGGAACGGATGGATTCTGGGATAAGGAATTCTTTTAGGAAAACCAGCCAAGTGTAGAGAAGGCACTGAGTATTCAGTGATACTGGCTCAAGACCAAGGGTTACAAAAAAACACACCTTCCTATAGAAGAAAAACAGTAACACCATCATCACGTTACCTACCACTACTTTTGGTAATTCCTTGTAAATCTGTTTCACAAAATCCAAGAAGTGATGAATCTGTGGAAAGGGGGAAAGAGGTATGAGAAATCTTATTTCAAAATCTGAAGCAATTCTATTCTTGGAAGAAGCCAACATGAGCCCCAGGATCTGCTGCTTGAGGAGCCCATAAGGCAGTGTTGTCCAAACTTGGCCACTTTAAGATGAGTGGACTTCAACTCCCAGAATTCCCCAGCCAGCATGGC